AGATTTCTGAATTAAAGCGAGCGAATCAATTTTCATCATAGGTGCACAGTGAAAAAAAGCAAATGCGATCATTATGCTGAATTGCTCCGAGTATGTCACCAGAACTATTTCAAAAGGAGTAGACTAGAGAATGAAAATATAATCATTCAGAGGGAAAGGTCTCAGATGAGTGGCATAAACTCAGAAAGCTGTGGGGCCTTCAGAGAAGGAAAAAGAAGTCTGGTCGGCATCAGGTAATCTCGGACTGAAGGAAATCTGGTAATAATGCGACTGCCTCTGGTGGGAAACAGGTTGGCTCTTTTTTAAACCACAGATGCATTCATTCAAGTTGTGTGTAAAACAAACTCCTGGCAAACTATATCATTTCCCATCAAACATGTATTTTCCCCAGGAAAAAAGAACCCAGCATGCCCTTTCCCCAAGTCAGCTAATGAAAACCTTCTTATGGTACCTATTTAAAGAAATACAGTTCTGTAAGAATTAACCTAATTTTGTATTCCATGCCCCCACTCCAGGTTTTCTGTAATTTGCTTAGCTTTTTAAGAAATAATCTCCAACTCCTATACCCTTGACCACACCCTCCACAGATTTCATTCTATGACTGTGCCCTAAAACTTACCAGCGATACCCTTTCACCTTACAGCCTCGAGGGTCTAGATTACCAATCACCAATATGTAATTGTCAAACCTGTTTTCTCACTGTAAACCTTGTAAGTAACTAGTAGTTAAGGTCAAGAAATTCTCCCTGTAGGTGTCAAGATTACAACATATGTGGTGACATCTTAAATAATGTCCTTTTGATGGAGCTGACCTGTAGAAAGGTTCGGTAGAGCCTTGAATCTCCTTGTAAATTTCTGCCCATCATCCGATCTCAGAACCTTGCTTGCTACATTTTCTGCTCTAGATTCCCATTTTCACATCTTACACTCAAGCTGCTTCAAAACAGCAAACCCTGCAGAATTCTCTGCTAAGTCCTGTTCCCCACCAGTGTTCCAGAGCAGCCATGCTCCAAGGTGGGGTGGGGAGGATGCCACAGTACACTCCCACCTCCGCCCTGCATGGAAGGCGGTCCCGAAGCGAGAAAAAGTTGACTGTCATTGGTGCATATTTCGGATCTCTACCCTGTCCACCCCCACCCACAACATAAACTGATTTCTGAATACTTTCTCTCTTCAAGTATTTCTATCAAATGTTCAAATTTTTTTTGTCCGTTTCTCTATTTTTTTTAAATTAACTTTTTAGAGAAATTTTAGGTGCACAGCATCTAAGTCCATTTTGAGCCTTATTTTCCCAGTCCTCTTTGAATTTGAATCATTCTAGTATGACTTTTAAAATAAAAGCCTAATAGGCAAAAACACATCTTGTTCTTGAAGCAAAAATTTGTTTCATGTCTCCTTACTAGACTGAAAGTCACAAGGGCAGCTTCCGCCTGTTTCAGTCCCCCTTGTCCCCCCACTAATACCTGGCACACAGGCACTTAATGTACAATGAATGAATCAATGAATTCTCGTTCAAAGACTCATGCGGCATAGCCTTCAAGAGAGTACCAGCTTCCTGTTCAAATAGATTGTTCCTGAACTTTTTCTTTGCCTTAACCACAATACTGAGAGTACGAGGAACACGACTAACAGCTAGAAAGCGTGTTTCAGCACTCTCGATGCAAAGAGCCCTGTTATCATGCTTCCATCTGGGGAGAGCTAATGATGTGGTGCAGGATAATTCTGAATGAGCAGTAAAGGCGACCTCGGGACCAAGCCGCGCACGCCCTCTAGCCCCAGGAGGGTGTTTTCCAACTCACCCCCACCCATACTCCCATTTCCATTCCCCACCAAAATCCGATGCCTCTGATATGTGGAGAAACTAAGGCACAAGGGAAAGTCAAGCACATGGAAGGTTCACCCCTAAGTTCTTCAGTTTATTCAATGAACTCTTAGTGACACCTACCGAGGGGCCACTAAAGTACAGAATTTGAGCCATGATTTTACATTTCCAGTTCTCAAGGACATGCTTGAACTTACTTTGTTAAGAATCGGTATTTTTAATTCATAGACAAAGCTATGTTTATTTTTTGGGACTCCTACCATGAAAGGCAACATCCATCTTCTGGGAAGGGAAACTTTTGATAACTTTGTTTTTTTTTTTGTTTGTTTAGTCAGACTACACTAAGTCACCAAATTGGAAGGAAAAATTTGGCTTTTTGGTATTTTTGGAATGGCAGAATGCACAATCCAGTTAGCTTCCCTTACGTTACCAGTGATAAGTCTGAAATATGTAACAGTTCAATGATCCTCTTTACCCTCATGGCAGGTGGCAAACAGGTAAGAAATCAGAATGCACTCTCCTGGCCAGTTACCTGCAAGGCAGTTTTTTATACACATGGTGGGAGAAAAGCCACCACCAATGAAGAACATATCTGTAGATATGAAAACTGTTTGCTTTTTAATCTATGTAAAATGAACTGTACGGCATCTGTCAATCACATGTATATATACACATGAGCTGATGGTTAAACCAATGAAATTTTTATGGCTTTTACTAGAGACAGAAGTGCTAAAGGAAGAACAGGCAGATTCCACTTTAACTGGTTATCATAAAATCTGTGATACAAAGTCTCATATATCTTTTCATTTTTATGCAACCCTCTTGCTGGAGAAATGCTTTGGGAAAAAAACACATGGGGTTCATTTCCCTTTAGTGCATATGGAGATAAGGAGCTCTAGGAAGTTTCGTAGGCTGCAAGGCAAACAGTTTTAACGCACACTCACCATCTATCCAGTTCCTTTTGCCAAGCAACTGGTAATCTTGTATATTTACAGCTAAAGCCCAAACTGTGGGATGAAGGCTACTGGCTGGTGTCTGGAGGTCTAAACAGGTCCAAGTAGAAATAATTCTTACCAGCTTTAATGGGCAAAATCTATAGCCTAGATATAGCTGTCTAGTTACCAAGCACATTCTTACAAACAGGAACCATCTCAAGGGAAAATGCAGAAGTTATACATAAAAACCTTCTCCTCTCTTTGGTGAATAAACTGAGACCATCCTTGGAGGTACGCGCTAATCAAGAGAGCTTGTCCAGTACTGGTTATGGCAAAGGAGTTGTCCAGTAAAGTGGCCCATTACTGGATATGGCTGGCTGTTATCAGTTCTGTTGGTAACCAGAGGAGTTTCACAATGATTTTGTCTTATTCTTGGAGGAGTTAATCTCTAATTTCTGCACGTTGAATAAAAGTTGACAATGAAGGTTCACTAGCGTCATGTTCCTTAATTCCCTTTGTGTTCTAGAATTGCCGAATTTAAACATCCTTCAAAACCCTAACAACGGCAACGACTTTACTTTCATACAAATGGACAGGAGGATCTTAAAATTAAAATCAATTAAACACACTGAAAAATAAACGATGAAAAAGGGCAAGGATATTTGGCAAGTGGGTTAAACTCATTTGAAGTATTCCTAACAAGAATACATGTACAATTAGAGGCCTAGTCAACTTTTTTTCTAGAAATAAATATACATATACATTAAAAAGCTATTGCAATGAAACCTTTTCCAGACTGATATTCATACTCCCCCTGGGATAGATCCTCAAATCTCCACATTGTGAAAAGTCAGTGGCCAAGCCTCTGAGTGGTATAAGCCATCTACTCACACAGGAAACCCTGAGGCCTCTCTTCACACAAAAGGCCTTTTTGGAGGAGCCTATTGTCATTGGTTAGTTCCTCTACCCAACATCCACCTGACATCCACCTCACTCCGTGGCCCTAAAGATTTATTAGTTTAGAATAAATTCCAAACCACCACCCATAAAGTAAATACAGGGGCCCATTGCATTGTCATTAGATTTTGCTTCAATCAACTACTTAATTACAATCACAGCTCTAAGAATTGATTGACAGAAATCCTATAAGCAGCTTCCTAGCGCATCTTACATCTTTGGTGTAGGGCAAGCAAAAGGGTCTGTAACATGTGATTGTCTAAAAGGACATTTTAAAGACAATCTGGCTACCCTGTTGTTCTGAGTGCCCTCTTGAAAACTGTGAACTACAACTCCTGTCAATCACTTCCTAACTTCAGAGGATCATGATGAATCTATGTTACTTTCTGTAACATTTCTAAAGTCTCCTAACACACACACAAACATCACAGCCAAAAGAAAGAGGATGGAATAGAGTAGAAATGTCTTTAAGTGTACCCAAATTAAAATTTCAAAAACTCCTGAGATATGAGCCTCCATTTTGATTGTGCTAAATGATGTGAATTTTGATGGAAGGAATAAGTTTTCAAAGAGAGTCGGACTTTAGACAAAATCATTTAACACTAAGTTCACAAATCACCCTTTCAAAAGTTCTGTTTCAAACACATTGCAAACTGTAACCTGGAATTGCGAATTATCATGCTCAAAATTCTTTTCAATAAAATCAACCTTTTAGATTCCTGCTAGGTACATAAGAGAGCTTCCAGGGGAAAAAAAAAAAAATATTTAAAATCTATCCAGTAGGATTATTGCACAGTGGGGCCCACAGAACAATGATTCCCAAGGGCTCGTCCTCATATAAAAAAAGGCCACAATAAATACATCTACATACTATGCCCCACTCTAACTTGACACAGTAAACACAAATATGGCGAATCTTGCTTAAAAAAAGAAACTCCTGAGGAAAGGAAAGGATGAAAAACTCTACCAAGGCCACTTAAGTCAGAAACTGCATCTGCTACTTCCACTGCCGTGACGGACAGCCACCGAACACACCGACCATTTCGAGCACCGCGATGAACTGGTGACAAGGTTCACGCTTCCTCTTTCACTCAGTTCACAGCTCAAACTGAGCTATAGAACCTGCTAGAAGATGAGTTTAGAAAGGAAACAAACTGCTGGCAATCAACCCATCGGCCGAACTTAAGTTCATCATTAGTCATTCAGGGTTGAGGTGTAATCAGTGAGATGCTAGCAAACCCAATCTCTAGTAAATTCCAGTGTTTTAGGCCATTATTTTTCACTCACAGTTCTTGAAACATCACCAAGACATTTGCAAATGGAATTACAGGTTTGTTTGTTTTTTTAAATCTGGGTAGCACCATGTTTCAATCTAATGAAAATTCTCCCACAAGATTTCATCCAAGGCATTTGGCAATCTATGCAGCAGCCTGTGATATACAAAGTAACCCAAGTTTTAAACCCTTTTGACTGATTCCTTTAAAATGTCAAATCCTAACCACATAAATAACCACTCTAGAATATTATTCAATTATTCTCCAATTTCCCGTTATAACTGGTGAATCATAATACACAGAGAGCACTGGGTAGAATTCCAAACACCAAACCACGTGGTCAAAAGTTTGTAACTTGACAACTGAATCAACAAGCCATACCTTGCCTACAGCACAGACGCAGCCAAAGTGTGAAGATAATCACCTTTTAGCTGCATGGGTGGTGGGATTTCTCACAGCTTCTGCTTTTCAAAGCATTCACTCTCATTCTAAAATGGTATGCTATACACGAAACCATCAATTTTATTCCAGAATACATCACCTTAAGGAGAATAAAAAGTTTCTGTATGCACATACTGCCAATACATTTAAAAAGGCCCAAATTTTAACAAATAGAATAGACAAATTCATCAGACAAGAGAGCATAAATTACTTTGGCCGAAAAAAATCTTTAAAAAAAAAATCTGGCTCAACATTCTGCTTGCAGGTTCCTACGTATACTGTATATGTGGTGAGTGTGTGAGTGTGTGTGTGAGTGAGAGTGAGTGTGAGTGTGTGTGTGTGTGTGTGTATACATAGCTTTCTTTAAGGGAATGGAGTAAGGTCTAGCCCACTTTTCTATGGTTATGTAGGAACTACAATGTTCTTTGCCAGCAAAACGAGAAGTGCAAGGTCTGCATTTCCACCAACTTGATGCAAAGCCCCAAGAGCTTCCTGCAAGGTAAAGCCAGCACGGAGAATCCGGTCGATGTCTGCAGCAGGAAAAATTAATGGTGTAAGAATGGAGAGACTTGAGGATGGGTAGCTAGTAGGTGGCTCGAATTCAAGAAGTGGCCCTGCAGCTTCCAGACAGACATCTTCTCTGGTCTCAGGCCTGTCTGTCACTGGATTCTGTGTGCCCTGACCCAAATCTTTAACCAAGATGAAATCTGATGACAAGGACTTAGTTGGCTCTGAAGTCTGACTGAGTGCATCCTCACCTGCTAAGAGTTTAGGTGAAATTTCAACACCTAAGGTGCAGTGTAACTGATTAGACATTTTAGCCGAGGCTGGAGTGACAGGATTGCTCTCGTTTACTGATTCTTTAGACTTGGGGACACCTTCGTTATCAGTTAACAGGCCATCGCCTGGACCCCTGATGTTAATATTTTCTACATCTTCTACCCCTGCGCCAGCAGAAGTGTCTGTTAATTTTTCTGTCTTCATTGACACAGATACAGCCTGATGAGAGGAGACCTGTGAACACTGTTCACTCTGGGTAGCTGTGAGATGCTTATTTGGGGTCCATCTTTCAGAAAGGTCCTCATCACCTGTTTGGCCCTCAGCTATCATTTCTGATTGACAGACGACTTCTTCACATGTATTTTCTGAAGCTGGTTTACTACTAATGACCAAAAGTTCATGAAGTTCCTTCAAGGCTGCTGTTATAGATGAGCAAGATTCCTCTGCTGACTCCACAGAAGGATGACAACCGCTACACAGACTTAAAGAGGGGGAGCGAGTCCCATATTCTTTATTTGTTCCAGACATTTCAACATTACTTTCTGGGAGCTGTAAGTTTTGAGTGGAAATGGAATTACTCAAAATTTCAGATGAAGAGGTACATTTTGATGTTTCTACTTCCATCACGGGATTATCTAAGGTGAGATCAGATGCACCGATGTTCTTGACGTTGGCATTCTGACCGCCTGCTGAATTAAGCACAGCGACTAGAGACTGTTCATCTAGATCTACTTCCATAAATGTTTCTGAATTTGAGCAGTCAGAGCATCCTGAAGGTGGAATATTTTTCTGTGTACCTGGAAGACCCACATTCTGCTGCAGCCTGTCTTTTTCCATTGTAGCTTCCACATCAACACTTTCTGTTTGAACCTGTTGCCTTCCTCCAAGAAGTTCAAGGTCCCCTGTGTTACAAAGATGGTCCTGGTCACGTAGAGCACTCTGCTGTACAACCTCACGCTGTTTGCTCTCTGGTTCTTCGTGCTGCCAAAGGCCATTCGCTTGACTCAGATTCTGACATTCTGGATGCCAACCCTTTTCACCTAGGAACCTCTGTGGTTCTTGCATCCTACTTGTTGTGACAGACAAACTAGTTTCTTGTCTCGTGTGGAGATGAGACGTGAGGCCCTGGGTGCTTCTTCCAGGTTATCTGCAACGATGGCTTCTTCGGATGAACTCTGCAAAGGCATAGCTGGACTCTGGTCTGCTGGAGAAGCACGACCAGGAAAATCCTGCAGAGGAACACGGTCTTTCTTCTCAGAGGTGATCTGGAATTCAGCTGAAGCCTTCACAGCTTTAGGTTTGATGTCGTCCGGGTCACTGGGCTTGAAAGGGCAGACTGAAGCAGAGACCGAGCGAGCAAGGCCCGCAGGATTACCTATCTCAGGGCTCTGTCCTAAAGGACGGGCTGGACGGCTGACTCCACCTGAAGTTGGTAATGATGACATTCCCAGTGAGGTAGTTTCTTCACCGCTTTTCTCTATGTGGAACAAAAGGGAAAGGAAAAAAGGTTAGTTAAGTTACAGAAGCCACTAAATTATCAGAGGATACAAATCCGAACAGGATAGGACAAAATCAGGTCCTTAAACTTGGGTTTGTTTATATTCATAGACTTATACAAGAACCATTCCCACTGTGGTAGACAATTTAACATCACACCACTGAAATAAGAGGTAGGCATGTTCTTAATAAAATATGTGTACTGAAATTCAATATTTTATTTTAAGTGCCATTAATAAACGTCCACATAATGGCTGGGTTCGTGCTCGAGACTGAAGGACATTTACGTGTCTTCATTCTCAGCGAGTTCATAACCCTAGAATAGTTTCTCCAAGTGTGTTCGCTCCACCACTTGCCCTAAAATCCCCTGGGATGTCTGCTAGGCACACAGATTCTGGCGAACCATCCTTGGGAGCAAACCTAGGCATCTGCATTTTCAATAAGCTCCTCAGGTGACTCTTAAGTATATTACAAATTCTGAAGCTGTCTGCACTAGAATGATTCTCAAGCTAAGGCATCTTTAGTGTTTTAAATGTGAACACTAAGGATATCAATAAGAAGTCTAAAATCAGGTATATTTGGGACAGGGCGAAAGTTATAAAGAGAAAGAAGAATGTAATACTCAGGGACCTCCAGAAGACAGAGAAGCAAACATTCTATTTAATTCTATCCAAATATCCTGAAAATCATGATAAAACTATGTGAGCATGACTCAGAGAACAAAAACAAAGCGAAGGATCAAAAAGATTAAATCCCAATCAACATCTTACCAAATAATGCAACTTTAGGAGATTCTCAGTTGCTTTTATCACACTAACACAGTACGACTAAGTAAGAACATTTAAGTATTTTAAGAGCAGGGGAATGCTGGGTCAGGGGTAGAGTTCAGGCAGTGGAAGGAGATAGTTCATGATAGTTTTTCAATAGGCAATGACGACTTAGATCCATTGCAACTTAACTGTCACTTACATAAGATGGCAGGCTTAGCTATTACCTCAGTGTAAGCATAGTAACATTCAACATCAGTTTAACTCTCTTTTTGCCACTGACCCAGTTAGAACTGAACCTCTATGTAATTATTCTAAGACCTTTAAAAGTCAAAGGCTGGTGACAAAAATGACTTCACAGTCTGATCTGTAAGGGCAGATGTGAACATTAGCTTCCGATGCAGGGGTCTGACCTTGACATAAGAAGTCATGGAGCAATGCAGTTACAATTCAAATGGCTCCAAATCATCCTATTCCAACAGCGATTAACAGCATGAGAAGATAAAGCACTATGTCAGGAAGTTACTGATTTCTTGTGAAACAATCTTACTCATAGTTTGATGGTAAATGAGAAAACTACATTTATCTCAGTGCAAACTATATCCATTAGTCTAAAACAGTTATTATTTATCAATCCCTCGGGCTGACTCTGAAAAAGATTCTATTTTGAGTTAATGTGAACAGAAAAGATGCATTGTAGTGAAATGCTCTCGTTAGCGGCATGCGGAGGCCCGTGATAATGGCCTTCTGACAACTGGTAGGACAGTTCCAACAACTGGGTGAGGTCAAGGTGAACATGGCCTCAATGCACTGTGTACTCACTATAAAAACAGCATATAGTCCTCCTGTAGCGGAGAGGGTCAGTTTCACTGGCCTGAGTCCTAGACGTGGGGAGGACTGGCTCAGCGCTACAGGATAGGAGAGGAGGACGAGGACAGTGGATGGAAGAATTAAACTATGCCTGCTTTTACCGCCCCCCCGCCACGAGAAAAAGAAAAAAAAAAAAAGAAGAAATTAAGAGCTATGTATCTTAATTACAACCAGCCTGCAAACCCCTATAGAGTCCTAGGCCAATAGTTTAAAAGACCGCCTTTCCTCCTCCCGATACGTCAGCTAATACACTCAGGCCGACATCTGCCTCACTTACTCTACGAGCACAGTGCCTCCCGTGAAGGTCTGAAAGCTAGGGAGAGAGGGAAAAGCAGTCTTGGCTTCTGCTGCTGGGACAACAAAACTTCAGTCTCGCCTATGTTATTGACTCTGGGACCCTGGACAAGTCGCCTGGCCTAAGTTTCCATTTCTTCTTCAACAGATGAAATCTTCTGCCTCTCTATAACTCCAGGTAGTTGTATGCAGTAATGCGAAAAAAGAACTTTCAGTTCTTCAGAAGAAAGGGACTTGTGAAATCCATAACAGCACAGTTACTTCCAACAGCAAAGTGCCGAGATGCTGATATTCCTGATTTGATAGTTGCAATGTAAGATGGACGCTGTTTTTACTGGGACTTCCCTGCCCTTGGACTGTTCTAACAAAAAAAAAATTGATAAAATTTCAAACGGGAAATTATGCTTAGGTATGTGTGTATGCCGACATATGAACGTATACACAGGCTGGTTGTAACCAGATTACACGAGGTGAAATGGTGAAAGACAGACGCTACGTTACAAAACCGCTGCAGATACAGAGACTTTCAGACCACAGACGACTGGATGGAAGGCGTAATTAAGGCGGTGACTATAAATACCTGGTCTGGGGCCCACTCCAGCTGCAGCACACACACACTACATGCATCATGGCTTCTGACGCTCTGTTTGAATTAGGAAACAGACAAGCAAACTTGGGTTAACAATGCAAACCACACAGCATGCGGGGTTACAGTCTCCATTCCTTTGTCATCTTTAACATCAGGAACTGGGAGGGTCAAAGCTGGGGAATGTATGTGTCTGTCGTTTGGACATCCAAAAGATTCACCGGTTGCTTTAATTCTCTCACAATACAGAAAGTCATCTGTCAACTTCAACAGATTTTCAACAGAACTTGGAAAGAAATTAATTTCACACACAGAGAATCAGGGGCAAACATGTGAGACAGTGAAAAAAAGTAGACCCATAGACGGAACTACACGACATGGCCATCTCATGGAGTAAAACACATGTAACAGTCACTTTCCAAATTTCTTTCTCGGTTGAGATTTATTTTAGAAGAAAAACAAACCAAACCTGACCATCTAACGTAGCTTAATTTACCTTTTAACCTGTTTTTAGAACATATCAGATACAGCTCCTACTCTGAATTATTTTTCAATTGATAGATAAGATAAAGATACTTTGGTATAGAGTAGTCACCAAAGAAATAGTTTTTAACAAAAATACTTTCACCTACTATGTCCAGAGTTTCGATTTTGATGATATTGGAAAGCTGATGTTCCAGACAAATAGGACCTGATGTTGTAAGATTATTTCATTACTTAACATTACAAAAATTAGCACACGCCAATACACTGTCAGTAACAAAAGGTCATAGAGAGCGCCATTTCCTTTTAATCCTTCCAAATTAGTATCTCTCCCTCACTAGGCATAAAAACTGTGGTTTCTATTTGAATCTCCTAAACTTTATATTAAAAGAAGGTAATTACCCAAAGAGAGAAAGTGTTACCAGGTTGGAAAGCACTGCTACCGTGAGCTAGTGTTTCTCAAACAAAAGTGCCAAACTGTGTGTGGGGCGGCGGGGGGGAATAGAGATTTCACAAAATTAAAATATGCCCCATTTTATTAATACATGGTGTTATGACTAAGCTCACAAGTTACTACAGAAATGTAAAATCTTCTAAGTAGGTACATCAAACTCATTCAAGCTTGCCTTGCAGTGAAGATTAAAACTATGAATTTTTTCTGTCTGGTTGTTCGAAATTCTCCCTTTCTTACAAAATACTTAAGTCACAACCAAAACTGTACTTCATACATAAAACTGAGCTAAAAGGTGCTGGTGGAGTAGATTCTGAACAAGGCCAGCTTGGAAAACTCCATCTGCTACCCACGCCCAGTCTACGGAGGCTCAGGGCTAAACCACTGTATGTTCTCCAGTAATAAACACTGGCAAAATTTGGCTGGTTATTTTGAAAGCTCTTATCCTTTTTGTCTTTAGGGGAAAGCTACTCCCTGACCTTGTAGCTCTAATACATTTTATTAAATACCAGAAAATGCAATGTGTGATGTTAGTCACTGATGAATAATTATGCTCAAGACTTTAAAATAACCCAAACTTAAAAGTTCATTCTCTTCAGCTTCTAGAAAATGCATCCCAGAGTTACTGTTCTGAAACAGATGGGGAAAAATTACCCACAGAAATGGAATTTCAGCAAAACTGTGTCCTTCCATTTTACCAGAAAACTTGGCTTGCTCTTTAGATTTAAGTAAGCTACAACAATTGAGACTGAGGAAAAAAAGAATTAGGTAGCTTCATTTCAATAGCTTACACACTATTCTTATTTGGCCCAGTGACACACTAGTGTGACGTCATTAATAGCATAAACACTATATTTTGATTAATGTTCAATTATGCTTCTTATTGCTATTTCTTCCGTCTCTGGTGACAGCACTTTCAGCCGATATTAAAAAGGCTAGGGTTGCATAATCACAATGACTACACTATTCTTCAAAATAGATGGGCCTAAGAAAAGGAGAAGAAAATTTCAGGGAAATACTGTTGAACTCAAAAGAAGTGTCTGCTTACTGTTATAATTTTCTTTAGGTGGGGGAAAAAAAACACAAACGATTTTTTTAGGAAGTCTACCAAAATGTGCCTATGCAAGTAACTCCCCAATCTATCGTGCACATACCGGTGGATTGCTGTTTGCTGTTTCTTAATCTGCTGAAACACAGTTTTTCTTTATTGTATTTAGAGATGGAAGGAGGCAGTAAGAGGACAAGGAACACATCTGACAGGACGATGAGACTGATTACGAACTGGGAAGGTCCCCCTATCCCCTCTGCAGCTTGAACTTCCCTGGCTCACCCACCAATGACAGTATCATTCAAGAGCCTGGCCACTGCCGATACCTGTATCCTGTACGGACTTTTGAAGGGCTTCTGCTAATTCTTGGTCTGCAATGTCCTCTGGCCTCACGTCCTCTCGCCCGGCCCCATATGCCAACCGGGCACACTCTGGTAACTCGCCCTCAGGAAGGAAGGTGGTCTGTGAGCCTGTGGTGCCGATCACCAGGACATTTTTCTTGAGGTCAATGGAACACTTACGAGGAAGAAATCAAAGACTGATGATAGCAGGTAAAACGCCATGCAGAAAAATCATGATCTTGAATTTAAAACTCCACTTGCAAGGGGCAACAATGACAGAGACAGATGGTTCGAAAAAACTTTACCTGAAAGTATTTAAACTTTAACCAAAGTGATACTGTCTGTTAATTTAGAATTTTTTAATATTTAAAGTTTATAGCAGAATAACCTTTATAGGATATAGTTTACACTTATGTGTCTAACACAACATCGATTCATTTCTGAGTTTAAATATAATACATGTTCATTGTAGAAAATTTGGAAAAATGCCAGGCATAATCAGCAGCACCACTTTTCACAAACATATAAGTGACTTTTTCTCATAAAACTGAGACATACCACTTATCTGGTTTTACGTTTTGCTTTTCGTTTACTCTACAAAGTGCAGCTCATATTTACACTCTACACTAACGGTCTCAAAAGTGGTACAGCAGTTAGGCAATGCCTACAAAAGCGGCCTCTACTTCATACTCATGCCGCCCTCCTTTTCCTGCGTATTTCTGTAATTCTTTAATACAGGATAGTTACACATATCTGTAAAGTTGGAGACTCCTGGTCTGTATCATGATGAAAAAAAATAGGGAAAAATAGTGACAATATGCGTTTTATTTATACATACATTCACTCATTCCTTCTACTTAAAATTCTGTACTTTGATTAGAAAATCAATGCAGTATATATTTTATGGAAAGTTAATATTAAAAAATTTTAAGGAGTATTAGAGACATAAAAATATTGACTAGATATGAAACCTTACTGTGAAGAATTTTACTACCCAGTGGATACCAATTGCTTCTTCACTGAATTCACCTTTCAACAAATTATTAGGCTTCAGAGCACTTGTAGAAATATCACTACAAATGAAGGTACAAACCATTCTCCCTGTACATTTCTATGTCTGATATCTTATGTGTACCGTCTTCTTTAATCCTGAAGTTCTTCTTCCCAAGTTTTTTTCCCCAAGTACTGTTTGACTAGCTATTAAAGACTTATAAACTTACACTTGCAGTAAAATCGTGTGTTATCGACACTTCCCTACAAACCCATCAAAAAATTACTTGAGTTCTAATCAGAAACTAAAATTATACAAAGGAACCAAATTGCCCATTGTATCTCAAAACAGATGGCGAGATTTAAGATTCAGAGAGATTTCACAAAAACAGATTCTATATCTACTTATACGTAATTTCAAACTTTGTGTGACATCATTAATTAAGGACCTTTCTAGGTCTGAAGAGTCACACTTCTTAGTTTCCCAGTACACACAGCCAAGAGAAATGATGCAATAACCACAGAAGATACAAAAAGCCAGCGCAGAAAGTAAGTTCTTAATTACCTGATGTCGTTTCAGCATGTCCAGTCCCAGGAGCATGTCCATGGGCTGTTCCTCAAGTATAGAGAAGGAACACGCCAGGAAATCTCCTTCAATTTGAACCTGAGCTGAAGCACATGACGAAGAGAAGAAGTTACTGATTCTTGCTTCAAAAGGCCAGGCAAGCTTTGGACATGTATCTATCATTTCTGTGCCCTGCTTCTTGCAATAAGTCAAAGCCAAGGCAAAGCATGCAAACAGATGAATTAAGTATGAAAAGAAAATCCTGTAACACTAATGATCAGTCTAAAAGTCAATGAAGGTGCCAGCTAGTAAAGTGGATTAAAAAAAAGAGACCAATTTCTCTAATAAACCACCCACTTCCTGTATATGTACAAAGGTTTTCTAAAAGGGAAATAAAATCTGTACACTTTAAACCTTTTAAATTAGCCTCCAAAAAGTCAACTGTTTATTACCTGTTATAATCAAGTTTCTATTTGCCCAACCAGAGACAATGACAAGGCCTGTGTTTGCCTGGAGCCTTCTGCCTTGCCTCTTTTGTCAATTACTCTTCTTACTTTATATATTACAAGTTTTACTGTTATTACGTATATCTTATAAACAGAAGAGTGTATGAAATATATTTATCCTATAAAGCCTAAAAGAATAAACACCTATGCATCTTTCCCAAGTTAAGAAACAGAAAACTAAGAAGTCTCCTATATGTCCTACTGATCATGACTTATTCTTTGCCTCCTCCCAGCCTCCTAACTCTCTTGGGTTTTGTGTTAATCATTCCCAGCTTTTCTTATAGTTCTTACCAGCTTTATATGATTTCCAAGCAACATATTAACTCGTTTTGTTTTTGAACTATAACTCGCTTTTACTCAAAAAAATACTGAGGTACTTTATCCCGACAGATGCATGTGACTATATGTCTTTGACTTATAAAAAGTGGTACAGCAGTTAGGCAATGCCTACAAAAGCGTCTCCCCTTAGAGTACTGTAATGTCTAATACACCAGAATTGATGTAGCCATTCCTCCTACAGGACTTTCTGGGTTGCTTCTAGTTTCCGCTGTGATAGCAATGCTAACATGAATATTCTTGTACTTGTCTCCTGGTGTGCCAAGAATTTCTCTGAGGTATATTCTAAAAAGTGGAATTACAAGATTCTACAGATTAGGCTCAACTCTGCTTGGTGATGCTGAATTATTTTCTAAAAAGTTCCTAGTAGTGCATGGAAGTTCCCATTGCTCCACACTCTCACCAACATTCAACATCTTTAGATTTAAAATCTTGCTAATCTGGCAATAATTTTGTACTTTCTTGGTTAATAATGAGGTTAAGCCATTTTTCTTATACTTATTAACTATTTGAGTTTCCTTTCAAACAGCTTACGTAACTTTTTTATATTGTGTTTCTTACTGAGTTGGAGGATACAGAGTATGTGTATATTCTGAATATGTAACCTTTATTAGTTATATGTTACTAAAATTCTTTCCTAGTTTGTTCACTTTTTTAGGATGTCTTTTGATGAAAAGTTCTTAATCTGTGGCTGAATTTATCAAACACTTTCCTTTCTAGCTCTGAAAGAAGCTCTTCCCTATGCAAGATATTCTACATTTTCTCTTAAAAGCTTTGACTCTGCCTTCCACACCTAGGTCGTTAATCAACCTTGAATTGACCTTTGTGTGTGATGTGAAGCAGGGTCCAATTTCCAATGCATCTTTTCCACATGGATTACCAATTGTCCTAGCACCATTTGCTGAAACTTTCCCCACTGCTCTGTAAGATTTCCTCTTTCATTTGTCCAGAGTCACGTAAGTCCAAGTTTGTTTCTGTTCTAATCCTTTTGTTTTGATATATAGAAGGGGAAGTTACTCCGAGTATCTTGACTACTTCTGCAATAAAGGGCCTATATAAAATTTAAAATTAGTGCATCAAGTCTCTCTCTTTCTCTCTCATACACACACACACACACACACACACACACACACCCCTATTGGGATGCTGATGGTATTAACAAGGATTCTGTCAATCAATGTTGGAGAATTACCACCTTCAACATACTGAGTCTCCCTATTCACGGTATAGCTCTCCTTATTTAGATTTTCCTTATTGTCATAAGGCTCCCTTCATGCCTATCACAGCCAAAGCTGCAAAATAGTAAAACTTGTTTATCCACAAGGAAGGACACAGTGACTGGTCGTATTTTGTCTCCTCCTATTGTCTTCTCACTTAAAACCATGAAAAATCTGAGAACTCAGACTCTGAAGCAACCAATTTGTGGTATTCCTATCTAATTTCAGTCCTACTATGGGCAGGAAAGTATGAGAGCAAGGTATTTAAATTATCCTATCTACATAAATCAACCAAAGAAGAAAAAAAAAGAGAAACTAATAGACACGTATATTAAAAAATGTGAAAGAGAAAAATAGGTAGAAAAAACTATAATTTTCAATAGAAGAAAAGTAGCTTATGATAAGAAACCAGTTTTCTGTCTTGAAATTAATGTAGTAAAAACTAATAATACTTGATTATATAAGGACATTAAGAAGAATATTCATTCAGTGCTGCAGAAACCAGGTTGGTGCCAGTTAGCAATAGAGAGTTAATTGTAACCTTTGATTCAGTAGTTTTACTTACAGGAATCTTGACTAAGGAAAAAAATCAAACTGTGCACAAAACTACATAAAAATCCACTGCTACGTTACAATGATGAAATATTGGGGGAAAATGTATCTCAAAAGTTGATCATTAAACCTATACAATAGAATATCATTCATTTATTTAAATGATGCTTATGAAATTTATAGTAACATTGGGAAAACGTTACAAATGTTAATTTTCCTTAAAGCAGAGTTTAAAATTCTATACATCATCTGACCACCTTTTATAAGAAAAAAAATGCATGGAAACAAGGCCAAAAAGAGATCTATCCAAATATCATTAATGGCTGATTCTCCCTAAAAGGATTAAAAGTATTTCCACTTCTTTCCACACTTCTATACTTTCAAAATTCTCTACAATGAGCATTAAATAGCTGAAGAAAAAACAAAAAGAAGAATTGTAATTAGAGATGAAGGATTAAACACATATATTTATCTCCATTTACTCCTAAAAAATTATGAAAAGAAAATTTTTTTTTTTACGGTAAAAATCACTAAGGCCAAAAATAATGGAAGAGACAAGTGAAACAGTTTTGGAACTAAGAAAGCGGATGACAGTAAGAAAAACTAAGAAGCAACCCAATTAACGTCACAGAACTCCCCAGAGGCTGATGAAGTGGTTGAAACAAGTATTTCTGCAAATAGGGCAGAGGCAGGTCCAGGCAGATAGGCTAAAGGCAATTGGTACAACCACTGTGGAAAACAGTATGGAGGTTCCTCAAAAAAACTAAGAATTGGTCTACCATATGATCCAGCAATCTCTCTACTGGGTATTTACCCCAAAGACTTGAAAACCCATATCCGAAAAGATATTTGCACACCGATGTTCATAGCAGCATTATTCACAGTGGCCAGGACATGGAAGCAACCGAAGTGTCCTACGATAGATGATTGGCTAAAGAAGCTGTGGTACATATATACAATGGAAAATTACTCAGCCTTAAGAAGAGATGAAATGTTGCCATTTGCAACAACATGGATGGACCTTGCAACAATCATACTAAGCAAAATAAGCCAGAGAGGAAAAGTTGAAAATCACATGGTATCATTTATATGTGGGATATAAATCTTAAAGCAACAAATGGTAGGGGGAAAGGTGAAATGGGTAAAGGGAATCAAATATATGGTAGCTGAAGGAAACTGGGCTTTGGGTGGTAAACACACAATAGAATATATAGATGTCAAATTATAAGGTACACTTGAAAATTATATAATTGTATCAACCAATGTTATTTCAATAAACTTTAAAAAAAAAAAAGGGTCTACGCAGGCAACTGGATCTTGGGGTTCCTCTCCTGTACTCTGCTCAGCCACCAACTACCTTCTTCTACCTCCATAGTAGACGAGGTTTACTTCCTCAAGAGGGTGAAACAGAGGCTCTTGTGATAGAGGTGAGACAGAGGAAGACAGGGACACAAAAACAAGCACCTAATTGAAAACCAGTGAGATGAAGTGAAAGCTTGCTGAGACTCTAGCCCTTTACTCCCTTTCCTTGAATCTTCCAGATTACCCATAACCGCCATGGCTGCCCGCCCAAGTAATCTCCAAATAGCCTTTTGGTGTCCCACTCTTCACTATGAGCAGATGCCAGGGATCACCGGACATTTGAGAAAACCAAGTTATAAATGTAACCCTTCAGGACCTGGTGAAAAAGGAAGGCAAAGTTGAGGAAACGGCACGACCCCTCCACCCCCCGACAAAAAACACCCCCAAACCTAAAACATAATGAAAGAGTAAGAAAAGAAAACTATGGGACAAGTACAGGGTAGGAGATTATCTTACCTGAATAACAGGCATCCCGGAGGGAGAAAATCATTATCAGAATCATTCTTCCAGACTGAAAGGTACCCAACACAGTGGATGAAAAGAGATCTATCTACATCTAAGCACATCACTGTCAAATTTTAAAATGCTGAGGTCAAAGATTCTACAAGCTTTAGAAATGGAAGAGAAATCTTTCACATAACGGATGAAGAATCTGAATAGTAGCCAGCTTCTCCACAGCGACACTGACAAAAATTGTGAAGGAAAACGATTTCCAACTCAGCCAGACTGGTCGAATGTAGGGGATAAAAAGACATGTTCTGATATTTAAGGACTCAATTTACTCTCATACACTTTTTCTCAGGAAGTTACTAGAAGACGCACTCTAATAAACTGAGGAGCAAAAGAAAAAGAGGAAGACACGGGAATTCACGTACTCTGACATGAGACCAAGAAATACGCAGCCCTTCAGGCCCTGGCGAAGGGAAACTCCAAACAGCAGCCACGAAGCAGCCCTGAACCACCCGTCCAGGCTCTGAAAGCAGCAGCTTCAAAAGGATGAAACGTATAAAGGAGATTTAAACAACCAGGTAAGTGGGGATGAGGAACACAAAAAACCCAAGGACCAAAACCAAAACCAAACAAAACAAAAATGCAATTACTAATTCCAAGAAAAGGAAAAGCAATCAGATGACTATGCTCTCAATAGTATTTATATAGTCATATTGGTAAATAGCACTATAAACATGTTATTTAGAAATACGGAGGTAAGCGCCAAAAGAAATCAGTTCCAACAGTTGAAAAGGATTATCTATTTGGAGCAGGAAACAGAGGTACATAGGGGACTGATGTTTTCTGTAACCGGCTAAAACATGCACATATGTATAACTTTAATATACGGTTTAAAATTTCTAAGGTTTAGGCTTGCTGGATCAGATGTACCTATCCTAAAGAAAAAATTTTAAATCCACAAAGACTCCCAGTGCCGTTCGCTCACCTAGATGTACCCTTCCAATAATCTTCTGCGTGCCCACTCCTTTGGCGATCCCTGCCCACCGCCGATCCACCAGCCGCATTATATTACACCTTTCTGCACAAGCTTGGCTCATAATAGTCATCTGGGCACCTGGAGGTGAAGGGAAACATCAGATAATAAAGACAAAATCCACATTTGTGGTGACATTTAAAATGCAGCGCTAAAACAGGGTGGAAAGCAAGCATACCCATGCTTTTGTCTGTGTGACACTGTTCCTATCTAGTGTGTTTCCTGCCACGCTTAGTTCAACTTTCAGTTCCACAATGGAATATAAAATACAGTGCAGATACCTGACATTGCGGAAGAGAATATTCTGTTTAAATGTAGTAAGTAAATGATACTTAAAAACTCTGCCAGTAGGAAGCAAAGCAATCTGGAAAGGACTTCCAAGACAGGTCAAACTGTCTACAGGTGGAAACGCTGAATTAAGTACTACTCTACACTCAGATCAGTTTTCACTGAGTATCACCAAACATCACATCAAATTATTTTTATTTCAAACTCGGTGACACTAATTTACCAGTTAAAAAAGACGTATCATACAAGTCTCTCAAAAAACTGGAATTGAACTCATTCTCTGTTCCAAAAATTAGACTCCTTCCCTTTCAAAAAGTGGGCAGTGAGGGTCTTTCCTCTCACAGTGACATGTCCTCATCCACAGCTGGAGTCGGCCTGTGCAGAAGGCACACTCCTCTAATCTTTATCTGCAGTGCTAACCTCTCCCATGGACTCTAGTTCCATATCCCTGCGTTGGACACTTCTATCTTAAAGCCAACAGGTATAAAACTCCTCTCTAATTCTCACTTTGGATTTCTCTCCTTGCCAATGGAATTATTTTCTTGCAATCACAAAACTTAGGCATTGTTTACTTTTGATTCTTCTTTGAGCTTCCTCCCTACTCCTAAACTCTGTTCCAATCCTGTTCATAAGTTCTATACGATTTCTGTAATTTCCGACTCTCTTTCTTCTAACTATAGCAATCAGCGTAGCTCACACTCTATACCACTTGTTAGTGGACAGTTTCTCTGGTTTCCAAACCACCCTGTGGATGCATAATTTAAAGTAAGTTAACAGTCTGACTCTTGGGGTGAAGAAGTCTCCAGATCAGTCACTGCCTTGTATCTTCCTAACATATCACCTTCTTCAGATCAGTTATTCATTTGCTCAAAGATCCTCAATGGCTCCTAGTCTTTATAAGATCAGCTTCAAACCACATTGCCACAGCCTCAGATCCCACCTTATTCTGGCACAACTATTTCCAGCTACTATAGACTAAAGGTTTGTATCTCTCCAAAATTCATGTTGAAACCTAATCCCCAAAGTGATGATACCAGGAGGTAGGGACTTTTGGGATGTGATCAGGTCATGAGTGGAGCTCTGATGAATGGGATGGCTGCCCCTACGAGCGACCCCAGAGAGCTCCCTCACCCCTTCTACTATGTAAAGACCAAGAGAAAACTGCCCTCTATGAACTAGGAATCAGACCATCACCAAACACAAATATGCCAGCACCTTGATCTTGGACTTTCCAGCCTCCAGAACTATGAGAAATAAAGCTGTGCTGATTATAAACCACCCAGTCTATGGTGTGTTATAGCTGCCCAAACAGACTCAGACACCAGCCTTATATTCCAAATGCTCTCAGCCCTGCACTTCTATCAGGAGGAATTTGTTCCCTTTGCCTCTTCCTCACTTAGACTCCTCCCTTGCAGAGTGCCCTTTCCGCTGCCTTCGCTTTTTCTGATTCTACTTACCCTTTAAGGCCCCGCTCAAGACCCACTTCCTCCCTGACTGTCCTTTCCCAGTGATATCTCTTCGAATTCAATTCCAACGTTTCCTGTTCACATGACTCATCAGGCACCTTACATTTAATGGGCACTGAAAGAAAGCTCTTGCCATTTGAGGAAAGTAAGATTCCAGAAAGCCCAGAGATAATGAAAGAAAAGGGAATTTGGGGAGGCATTTCTCTCTTTTCTTCCTCCCTCCCCACACCGCTCCACAAAAGCTCGTTTCTGATGTAAAGGAAGCCACCCTAGGATGAGAAGGGGCCTCTCACTGCTCTCCTGCCTCTTCTCAAGCCTCGGCTCGAAGCCCCAATCCGCCGCCCATGGAGACAGCTCAGTTCAAATGCCCTCTCTTTTGAAGCCATACTGAGCACCCCAGTGAGAGTGTGGTTTTGTGTTCATCCAACAGGCACCTGATTTTTGCGCAGTGGTTAAGAGATCTGGCACAAGCACGTCAAGAGCTGGATCCAAAGTCTACTACTCATGAGTTCTGTGTACCTGGAAGAGTGACTTTACCTCTCTGTCTAGGTTTCCTCATCTATAAAATAGGGTAACGGTAGAACATAGCTAACAGCAATATTCGGAGGGTTAAATAAAACTGAGTAAGATGATATATATTAAGCATCTCAGTTAATTAAGCATGAATGACCATAGTGCCTGGCACACAGTAAGGGCTCAATAATGACAAGTGTTATATTAGCATCTCTCATGTATTTGTCTCTCTCTCACAGGAGTTCTGGGAAGCCCTAGTTAATGAGTTTTGCCCTCGAGCATGCAGCACAAGTCCTTATCTTCAGTGCACAGCACTCAGCAGACATTTTAAAAACTAAATAATCAGTGGGTTACTTCTCCCAGGAATGTACACATCTCGAGATACAGATTCTTAACGATAACTGAAAACTAGCGTGTGCTCAAGTATTTGTGGGTGAACAAATGGAGGAACATTGACTTGAGCAGCAGGGCTACTTTAGGACCTCATCCTGTCTCACAGCCTCAAGTGAGACACCCAGAATTAAGATGCATGAGACCCCCGTCACGCCCGCATGCTGCTGCCCCGTGTGTGGTCTTACAGAAAGGCAAAGAGTTGTTACTGAGAGACATGGTGCCAGTTAGTACAGGGACCATTTGGATCCTCAAGTGCGAAACTCCCTGCCTCGTCACCTGCTATGAAGCTGTTTAAGGGAAGAATCATGCCCCATACGGCCTGTACTCCTCATTGCTCCTGGCTAAGTGATGGCACACAGGCCTGGTGGAAACATCTGTTTGACCTATACTCTCTATACAGCTCCTTCTTATAGCTTTTTATTGTAAACCCATTGATTCCCCAAGAAAGTCAGGATGCCAAATGAGGGGAGGTAGGAAGAGAAATACAAAATATAAAACCGGTTAAGAAATGATTAAAGAAACAAACCTATCACAAACAAGGAGACTGGCAAGTGAAACGATAACCCCCAAGTTTGTTGATTTAGAAGTCCAACAGACTACTGCCATCTTTAATGGACACCGGAGTCTGCCCTTCTCCCCGTGTCAGGACAGAACGCCGGACGGAGAGAGAAAGACATAAAAGACAGAGACATCACCTGAGTCGACAAAGGCTTTCACAGGATGTCCATTCACTTTGCAGTTTATATAAAGCATCACTACTTGGCCAAAACTTTCCGGAGCCTCTTCCATAGCTATTGTCATGTTTTCCTCAATGTTCTGTTGCCTGTAACAAACCCAAACCAGGTATGCTGAAAGCATTGTTTCCGCAGAAAGAAATGTTTCAGAGGCACCACGTTAAAAACAGATATGTGTGTATCTTTTGCCCCAACTACGGCAGCCGAGCCATGAAAATGGAAATGGTGCTCTAGCCTGCCATCGAGGTTTAGCAGGAGGCAGGGAGACGCACAGAAACCTGAAAGCATACGAATTACCCTCTTGTAAAACGACCACATCCGTTCTCTTCACAAACTCAGAAACGAGGAAATAAACTTCTGGAAAATAGGGTCACGATGCTTTTTCTCCTGTAGAATGTTAGAATCTCAAGAATGCTTCTGTTTTAACTGGTGTACTGGGTGCCTGGGTACATTGCTTCTGTGCAGTGCATTAAAATTGTTTGACGGGGAAGGGGGAGGGTGAAGTGGGTAAAGGAAATCAAATATATGTATGGTAGCGGAAGGAAACTGGTCTTTGGGTGGTAAACACACAATAGAATGTACAGATGTCAAATTATAATGTACACCTGAAAATTATATAATTGTATGAATCAATGTTACCCCAAATAAACTTAAAAAAAGAAAAAAAAATTGTTTGAAAATATGATATGCAGATATTTCAACTGCTTGTTTTGCATCTGCTGCTTAACTTGGAAAAAACTCTCAAGATTGAATTTTCTAATCTGTAAAATATGGACAATTCCTCGTACAGAATTGCTGAAAAGTATAAAGCATCTATTACATAATGCCAGCATAAGAGCAAATGTTCAAAAAATGTCCATCTACCTACTAGCTATCAGAAAACTACACACACACACACATCACCGTTCACCTGGTTCATCAAGTCGTTTCTTCAAAAACTGAACATATTCTAATTCTTATATGAAAAAAGCACGTAAAAGGGAATCTCAGCTTACTTTAACATCTCATATCTTCATTCCCAACCTCCTTTCAAAACCATAATCGAAACTACTAATATTACTGGAAATTAGGCCAAGAGCTGGACCACTTATCTGAAGGCTGAGACAATACAGAACAGGGTCCGTTGTTTAGATAAATTACATTGTAAACCAGGGCAAGCAAACTACAGCCTACTGTTTGTGTAAACAAACTTTTATGGAAACACAATCGCATCATTAATTTACAAACTGGTATTATCTATGGCTGTTTTGTACTGCGCTGGCAGAACTGAGTACCAGTGACAAGAGACAGTGGGGCCTGCAAAGCCTAAAATATTTACTATCTGGTCCTTAATGGAAAAAGTTTGCTGATCTATGCTCTAAACTATAGCCTGCCCTTTTTATAGTAATGCTCTACCTTAATTGAATTGATGAATTTTATTGGTCATTCTGTAATAAAATATTAAATTTCTCAGAAAGTCTAAGGCACATTCATTTAATATAGTTCGGCAAATATGCAAGCTATTATACCTCGGTGTACATATACCCTGTGTAATCACTGGTACAGCATATCAAATAAAACTTTAATAGGCATCTGATATAATTATACGGCTTTTCTCCTATGCCATATTATTTAGAAATAACCCAAAATTAGTTGTGCACTCCTGAACTTGCACTGACTCCAACCAAGGTGAGTTTCAGCAAAAAATCCTGAGAGAATACCAGTTACTTTGGCTATTCTGGGCTTTGTATACAGAGAGTCCCTTTACAGATACAAGGTTTTCTCCTTTAAAAGAATGTGTGCATTACCTCATTTCCTTTACCTCACCCCTGGGAAAAACGGCCATATGGCTACGCCTCATTTCACTTCCACCCTTCCGAGAGCTTAGTGCCATTGCTTGGCTGTGATGCCTCCCCACACCCCCTCCCCTCCTGCTTCTTGGGTTGAACGCAATTATTCTTGAGAATTATGTCAGGTTCCCTTATAGCTGCAATGTGGTCTAGTTCCGAGAACATAAATATCTTCCTATTTCTCTGGGTAGATTTAATTAGATGTTTCTCAAAGATATTCATTAGTTCTGATACAATTAATGAGAATGCTTAATCAACAAGAACACAAGTGCATTGCCTTAGAGCTGTCAAGTGATTCTGGAATACAATTTATATTTATTTGATTTCAAATGTAGCCAGGGAAATAAAAAAACCATTATGTGACTTCCAAGTAGACAGTATAATATAACAACCAACTCAGGCTTCATTTAAGTAACCAAAGACAATGATAAAGCCCCTATAAGTACTACTGTCACATTTATGTTCTTCTTAGTTACACTGAAGCCTTCACAATTAGCAACAAAACCTGAATCAGGGGTGGGGGGGCGGGGCCGGAGGGAGCAGCCATTCTTTTATTCAAAGGACTGATTGAACACTGTCTTGTGACTAGTAATGTGACCAGGGTTAGCATCAGCATCATGGCACCTGCTTGGGCCCCACCCCTTAAGATTCTGATTCAGCAGATTTGGGAGTAGAGCCCAAGCACCTGCACTGTTAAAAGCTTCTTACGTGATATTAATGCAGCCCCACGTGAGAACCACGACATTAAAGAACTGGAGCTGGAAATGTGTCTGGCAGTTGTTTAGCCACTAAGGCCAGAACAAGAACTGCGGAAGGAAAAATATTTAGGACTACGAGATTCCATCTGTACAGAGCTCTCTCTCCTAATCCAATCATGTTCAAGCCCCGGATTTTACTCAGGGCTCAGGCATCATGTCTCAGGAAAGACATTCTATCAGCCTGTGTAGGCAGCCTAGTAGTTTCACCAAACTGCGGCTTCTGCTCAGTCCTGGGATCATCTACCCGGAGGTGCTTTAATGATGCACTGTGGGCTAGTCAGAGGGTCTTTATTAAAATTTTAGAAGAGAAAGTCATTAAGTTAGGCACCTGGTACCTCTGTAATGTTGGAATTAAAATGGGAGGAAAATGGAAGACAAACCAAAGAGATTGAAGTTACTATCTCAAAATGCAAAATAAGGAATCTACCTCAGAACAGATACCCAACTAATACAAGATGACTTGTAGTTAGAGAAATCCAGACTCTCCAACTCTTGCTCTTGAGGCTAAGGCATCATTACCTTATATCTTCTTCTATTTTTGCCTGAGCTTCAAGATCAAACGGGTCAGCAGAAAAGAGACGAATCCTTTCTTGCTCTCTCCTGGCTCGGTCCTGCTGCTGCTCCACAAGGACCCTAGAAAATTTCTCTACAAAAATAAGGGGGGAAATCTTAAGTACCATCAGATTTCATGCTTTACTACTACTTTTCCACATCAAACAACTTCTCAAAATACAACTGTAAGAGATGTAGAAAGGATGCGTAAAAATTAAATACGCAATTATATTTACTTTCTATTCTTTGAGGCGACTTCTTTTTCACCTAAATTCAGTGTAAAGAAATAAAGCATTTGCAAAAATCACTTAGTCTTACAGGAAGTTATCCATCATATTGTTTCTACTCAGAAATAACGACTTTTCAATTTAAATCGGTGGGGAATGACATCTGTGTGGCAGATAAGTGACCCCACTTCTCCCCTCCCCACTGCCCTTATTCTACTACTGAAAAATAAGAGTATTACAAACCCCTTTTTCCTCTTCTAGTTTCATTTCCATTATAATACTCTCCGCCTTAAAGCAGATAAATTAAATGCAAACTATTGATAGCCTATCTATATTACCCCATAGGTAATAAGGCAGGAAAATTAGTAAAGAGAAAACACTGCTTGCTATAAGATATTATTACAAGAACCACCTTTATTTTTCTATTTCTTAAATGGGGGCGCATTTAAATGTGTAATTGGTCTTTGGCAATTACATATGATGCATAAGAAATCAAGGAAAACAAGATAATGGTCATATGAACTAATACACACAATATGGATGAATCTAAAAAATATTAAGTTGGGTGAAACAAGCCAGACACGAGAGGACACACTGTATGATTCCATTTACATGAAGCTCGAAAATAAGCAAAACTAATCTAATGATTATCACACTAGTGGTAGCCTACAAGGGGAGAAAACTAACTATAAGTGAAAATAATGGAACATTCTGGAGTGAGAGAAATGTTCTCTTGATTGGGGCACCGATTACATGAGTTTGCCAAAACTCAATGAACTGTATACTTAAAATCTGTATATTTCTCTGTAGGTAAATATTACTTCAATTAAAAAATAGTTATTGAGGAATGAGTTAAGTGTCTACTATGTTTTAAAATTTAATCAGTATAGTTTCATAAACTGAAGAGTAAAACTGGAGAAATTTACAGAGAAAACTTTATTCATAAAGACTAAAAATAAATGTTCTGTTAAATAAAAGAATGGCTCAAATATGGCTCTATATAAGCTGTTGGTAAGAACCCTGCTACATTTTAAACCTGGGGTCGATGAGTAAATAGGAGGGTCCATTTTGCTACACAGACTGATGGTACTGGGCCTGTTTCCTGTAACTAAAAGGCATCAGTTGATTTATTGGTGCTCTAATTAAAGGTCTAATTAAACGGGTTAAAATATCAGCACCCGGGTTATGTGCTATTAAAAATTAGGGGAAAAAATGCTAATGGAAGGGGTTGGTCTAACTGGATTTCAGAACTCCTTGAGGCCCTAAAATTCTGTCTCTGCTGCCAATGAACTCAGCCTTTGACCTTAGCACTAATTTACCTCTCACGGATCAACTGATATGTTCAACAAATCATGTGACACAGTGGGTTGAACACACTAGTTGCTTGAGTGTCTCCACATTTGCCGCGACACAGCACTTCACCTCAGGTCAGCTTGGTGGCCTTCCGGACTGATAAGCTTACCGAGATCACCGCTGAGCAGAGCGTCCGCTAGGGGCGGGTTGCGTTCCTTCAGCAAGGACAGCTCATGGGGGTTGGCCAGCAACATGTCTCGGAGCAAGGCTGGATTGTCCAAGCCCTGAGGAGATGAAGCTATTTCTCCGGGAGATGAGTGGGACTGCTGTGCTCCTGGTGGCTGCCGCTGCCGGGAGCTCGATGTGCCAGGCACAGCTATACTACGAAAGTCTATTCGGGGTAAGTCTGTTGGGGAAAACCGATTCAGTTTACTTCAAATGACTCCATAAAAACAAGCATTTGAAGGAAACAGCAGAACATTTGCTCAGACATGGTATGTAATAATAGCTAAGAGGTAATCGTAGACATTCTAATGCCCTCTCCCCTGCCCCTTCTCATGCTGACTTTGGGTATAGATTGCAGTCTGAATGAACAGGTAGGAAAGAATAGAAAAGCAGGGTGTGGGGAGCACAGATAATGGTAGCAACCTCCAATTTTTGGTTTATAAAATATCCTAAAATAGATGTTTTAATTTATTTTTGTTTTTAAAAAATTAAAGCTAGTCTCAATAAATATAACTGCATAAATCTGGATGTGGTTCTTTAAAAAAATCCTGGTCTGCTCTGATATATGCTTCAAAGAGTCCTGACACCTTAGGTAAAGAATACTATACATATCAAGTGAACAGCATAAATGTTAGATGTTGAGTTCTACAAGTCTGTGTGCTACACACATCAGTTCTTTGAATTTACACTTTCTTCTGGGCATCACTGCTGACTTCTCGCACCCGGGGAGCTAGCAGGTGTGACCATTTCACAGGAGAGGAAAACAGAACAGGAACCTGCATGGGTCCTCAGTGCTGAGCACACCTGAGGACGACAGGCTGAGAGGCTACAACTCGCAGGTTCTATACTCCAGGCTGAGCTGACCTTACTAAAATGAATGTAAAATGAAAAGGAGCTTTACACAGAGGACCCAAATATTATACGATGCCATTTATATGAAATGTCCAGATAGGAAAATACACAGAGACAGAGAGTAGACTGATGGTTGCAAGGAGGCTTGGGGGCAGATGGGGAGTGACTGCAAATGGGCACAGGGTTTCTTAAGGTGACGAAATGTGCTAAAGTTGATTGCAGTGATGGTTGCACAACTCTAAATATACTAAGAATCATTGATTCGTATCCTTTAAATGAGTGGATTGCATGGTATGTGAATGATCTCAATAAAGCTGTTACTTAAAAAAGAGTTTTGTTTTTTAAAAAGGAAAAAGAAAAGAATAGAAAAGTAGAGCCAGAATGAGGGCTAGGACTAAGTACATTCCCATTTCTTAAATCTCAGAATGTATCTGATGGTCACACTTGTCCCAAGTCTGGGGCTATCCTGAAGCCATCTGGACCCCATAGAAAAGAAAGGAACGCTTCAACTCGGGCATAAGGTTTCTACGCTCAGCATGGGTTCAAGTAGTCACTTTCTTCAAACAGACCCCAGCTGGAAGCTAGGCAGTGTGAGTGTGTGAGTGTGAGTGTGAGTGTGTGTGTGTGCACGAGCGTACATGTATAAACTTCCAACTAACGAAAAGGTGAAGTGACTGGCATGATCTTTGTGAGGCAATCACTACCGACTAGCAAACATACGTGAGAAGGCCTTTTTTGCGGGTTGAAAAATGTCATCTCCAACCCTGTTATCCTTATTTTGAGAGTCCGTTCATGTCAAAATAATTCTGAATACTTGTTTACCTTATAGACCCGATCCCATCCTACCCTCACCTACTGGATCTCTTGTCCATATGGGACAGTACGGAAATAAAAAAAAAAAAAAGAACAGTAAGTCTCCAGAACTAACATTCTCACCGAATTAATCAAAGGAAGATTTGGGTTTTACTGAGTGGCATATCTGAACTTCTATACTCTTTCTAAAGTTTAACAGTAGCCCCAAGGGAGTAATGTAATCCTAATCTGGGAGGAACAGTGCTTGACGACCTCGTATAGCCCCAGTTTCAGGCTAAATGGAAGCACTGTGTTCTAACCCGCAGTCTGTCACCACCTGGACATCTATCAGCAGTTACCATAAATTTTAAAACCAAGTGACCTAGAGACTAAACACTTTAAAGAAATCTACGAGGATATGGCAGGGACTGGAAAACAATGAACACATTTCATCAAGTAGTTCCACATCAGAATCCTATAAACTTTCGTAGGTCATAAACCTGAGTATCTTAAAAAGCTATGGACCTTGCCCCAGCAAATGCCCACGTGCCCACCCACACGCACTTCTGCTTCTTACTCGGGGACACAGAACCCTCCTAAACCCCAAGGTGCAAATTCCAGATTATGAAAACCTACTCTGGATGGAGCGTCTAAGACAAATAATCGTTTCTCTTTACATAATCAACAAAGCTGGTGAGAAAGAACCATCCAGCTGCTAATGTTCACAAAACTCAGTGTAATGGAAAAAGCACCAAGTTTGAAGTCTTATACCTTCATTAGATATGTAACTTGGAAGGCATTATTTAAAATCAGAGTTTCGTCTGTCAATGATAATAAATTAAGAGGAGGAGTCTCTTCCCTTATATTTGAGTTAAGAGATCATGTGAAATGTGGCTCCAGGTGCCTGGCTGATCGTAAAATGCTCCACAAAGGCCTGCCACTGAATTCCAGTAGCAAAGTCCGTCAGAAATCAGGCACATGTAGCCTCTCTCAAGTCCTTCCCGAAGATGAAATCGTCATTGATAACCACAGAAGCTGGCACCTACTGAGGGCCTGCTCTGTGCTGAAGGTTTCACAGGCTTTATTCTCACGTTAACTCTAGGAGTTGGGTTAGTTATAGTACCTTATGGATGAGGAAACTGACTCACAAAAGTTAACTTGCCCAAGGTTACACAACAAGCAAGGGGCAGAGTCAAGATCTGTATCTTGGTAGTCTGAATCTAAAGCTAATCCAAAACTCTGAACCACTATGCTGTGCTGTACTGTACTGATGCTTGTGTCAGGGGACACCAAACCATGCTGAGATGTCTTACTTGGAAAATGCACTGGAGGTCGAGGGTCTGCATTCTCCTTCTGTCGTAAAATCACAACGTCTCCATCTTTCAAGCCGTAAGAAGCCAGTGATCTGTGGTTGTCTGTGAGAGGTCTTTCAGCATAGACAATCTACAACCAGAAAAAGAGTCAACAGAACGAAGGACTGAGAAGTGACATGGCGCAAAGCAGAAAGACTAGTTTTTCTCTCCATTGCATGATGTCATTCCT